AAACTACTTATTATTTTTGTTATGATGACTTGGTCTTTGATTCTTGTCCTGTAGAAGTTAATAGGTGGTACCATTCCTGTTTGCTTCTATCAAATATTCTACCATTCCAGTTTTCTTCTATCAAAAATCTTGCAAGCCATTTCATTGAAGCCACAACCTCTGCGATCGGTCTGGAATATTCAAACAACCCAACGATTCCTTGCAATAAATAATACTTATTCTCTTACATCAAATGTTTTCTTTGAGATAGTGCAAAACCTAGACAATAATGCTCTGTCTGCCTCCATCTGCAGTTGTGAAAAAAAATTTTTGAGCACTTGATCGATGTTTTGGTGAACAAAAGCGCACCTTCTTATTGGTTCAACAGTGTCGCGTGACCAGTTTGCCCTGTCCCTAAATTTAGGGATATGGATCGTTTTCACTGTCACGCAACAAAAAAATTAATTGGAAACCGTCCAGTCATGGTCCAGTGGAAGAAGCCAAGGAAATGAAGTTTTATAAAAGATTAATATGTAAACAATTTGTCCAAGTCTAAGGTCTTTGCAGCTCACAGTTTCTGAGTTATTTGCCGAAACGTTTCGCGCACCTTTGTAGAGCTTTGTGCACCAATATGGCCGCAGGAAATCAACAAAAACATAAAAAAAAAAAAATTCACAAAATTCTGCTTGACTTGTTTAGAAAATAATTTGTTTAATTTTTAACAATTAACTAACAGCTCACTGATTTATTTATTTGGGCGACCAACTTGGAAGCCCGGCCACCCCAGCTAAAATGTTTGGGAGACCAATGGGCTCTATCATAGGCCTGGGTCCCCTAGCTCAAATGTTTGGGAGCCAGAAGGGCTCCCTGAAATTATCCCTAGAGCACAGCCTTGCAGCCCTGTAATTATTGGAAGTATGATACATAACATGCTATTGTTGAATGTGGAAGTGCATTTTTTGAGGACATTAGTAAAGGGAATGCAAATTTTAGTGAATCACCCCATACTCTTAACATATATGGTGGTAATATTGCTGTAAGTTTTGTTTTGAGTAGCAAAGGAACCCCTGTGTGTAACTCATCTTCTAGTGTGGTAGTCGCTAACTCTCCTGCACACATGTGTTGTTGATAAACTACTCAACTTTCTATTGCCATTCAATATACCGGTAATTCTTACTTACACCAACACATCCTGTATTCATGCCTTCGGGCGTCTTCTTGTTTACTGTTAGATTCTCCAAACGTTCATCCACACTTAAAAAAAAATCAAAGAAAGATGGCAAATTTCAACCTTACTGTAAATTTATTGCACTACTCATTGAACACTGATAATCTGCATTGGATTTTAACCTTGCAGGTACGACAGCTAGCAAAGAAAGCACCAGATGCCTGACGTCCATGTGCGCTGGCAACACGGAAAGAAAAATTATTAAATTTGAACTACTTATTATTTTTGTTATGATGACTTGGTCTTTGATTCTTGTCCTGTAGAAGTTAATAGGTGGTACCATTCCTGTTTGCTTCTATCAAATATTCTACCATTCCAGTTTTCTTCTATCAAAAATCCTGCAAGCCATTTCATTGAAGCCACAACCTCTGCGATCGGTCTGGAATATTCGAACAACCCAACGATTCCTTGCAATAGATAATACTTATTCTCTTACATGAAATGTTTTCTTTGAGATAGTGCAAAACCTAGAGAATAATGCTCTGTCTGCCTCCATCTGCGGTTGTGAAAAAAATTTTTTGAGCACTTGATCGATGTTTTGGTGAACAAAAGCGCACCTTCTTATTGGTTCAACAGTGTCGCGTGACCAGTTTGCCTTGTCCCTAAATTTAGGGATATGGATCGTTTTCACTGTCACGCAACAAAAAAATAAATTGGAAACCGTCCAGTCATGGTCCAGTGGAAGAAGCCAAGGAAATGAAGTTTTATAAAAGACTAATATGTAAACAATTTGTCCAAGTCTAAGGTCTTTGCAGCTCACAGTTTCTGAGTTATTTGCCGAAACGTTTCGCGCACCTTTGTAGAGCTTTGTGCACCAATATGGCCGCAGGAAATCAACAAAAACATATAATATGTAAACAATTTGTCCAAGTCTAAGGTCTTTGCAGCTCACAGTTTCTGAGTTATTTGCCGAAACGTTTCGCGCACCTTTGTAGAGCTTTGTGCACCAATATGGCCGCAGGAAATCAACAAAAACATCTTGAGTTCACTTTTTTTATAAAAGCTCTTTCATTTCACTCGACAACTAGCATACGTGCGCATAAAGATATCTTCTAATACTTGAAATGGTTATACTGCTGAAAATCAAGAGGAGAAACTTTTTTTCAACGAGAGAGCATTCCTATTTTGGTGTCACGCACTGTGAAAACTCGGAAGTTCAAATTGCTGTATTTTCGAAATGAAACATGCTACGAGGATGGAAACTTGTACAAAAGTTTACTTTTTGTTTACCTTCAACCTTGTGTAAATAAGAAATCGTAAAACCTCGATATTTTGACTTTACAATTCGATGACGACATTGTGAAAACCACCTATTCCGCCCTGGTCAATATGGCGTCGAAAACCGTGACAAGGTCTATTGAATTTTAAGGAAAGATGATGTTTTTTACGAGTCTCACGACCAAAAAATTAAAATACAAATAAAAACAAAAAAGTAAAAGTGGCAGCGTTTGAAGAATACCTTTTGCTTGCAGACAACAAATACTGTATGTTAATTTCGATATTAATATTCAACCTTACTTCCGGTTCAACCAGAGATTCAACATCGACAGCAATTCAACATATTCATAATCAAGTTGTATACGTAAAAAGCTGTAAAAAGTAGCTGTCCATGCTAAAGCAAAAGCAATATTTACCTAAATTTAACTATTTAATCTTACAATGAGTTTCCTGTCGCATTAAGCGAAGCACATTCAATAAAAAGAAAAACGAACTGCATATTTTGTGCGGAGCGTGTCATGATATAAATCGAAAAGTTTTGAACTAGAACGTTAACTAAGTAATGCAGGCCGCTAACTAAGTTTTGGCGCATCAAGTTAACAACTCACATGGTAATCCCTGGGAAGAAATGCAGGTAAAATACTCCGAGAAATATTGTAAACACCAACTCAGTCAACAGGCAATTCTAGAGGGTTCCCAAATAACTGTGAACGTCACGTGGCTAAGTAATGATCACGTGGAATGAGTTTTCAGTCCCTCGGGACTGTCACAATCTTCTCCGTAAGGAAAAACTGCAAGAGCTAGCCCTCCCTCGACTCACTTTGCGCGCCGATTTTTTTCCCCTTTTTTCCCGGCAAAAGGAGTTTGGTTCCCGATACGCTATGAAGAAACAAAAATACCAGTTTCGTTCCGCATTAGACATAAAAGCAATAGATTGTGTAGACCGCGAGCGGTCGTCCTTCTTTCCTGAGAGTGAAAAAGTGTAAGTATGCAAATTAATGATAAACTGCGAGGAAAATGTGCTGCCTTTCTTGTGACATATCAACAAATGGTCAGAGATTCTAGTCTTCTAGGATAAGGGCGAAAAACCGTAGCTTCCGTCTCACGGCTCTTTCTCTGTTACGATTCTTGTGGGACGTAAAAGATCCCACACTACTGTTCGTAAAGAATATAGGGCATAGACCCAGGTGGTGTGGTACAACCTTTCATCGGCTTGGTGCCGTGGGTAATGAAGGGGTTGATATCAATTTCAATAAAGAAAAAGTGAAGTGATTAAAAAGAAAAACTAAGAGACTACTCGCAGTCTATAGATTGCACTTCTTATGTAAAGAAATAAGCTTAGGCGAGGTGTCTGGAACGAACTAAAAAAGAACTTGTCAAGCGAGAGCCAAAACTCACTGCTTTTAAAGTAGTTACCGGAAATAAACTTTTTTAAAAATTTTCTTTGATTTTTATTTTGGTTAGGAAAGTGAAATTAAATTGACTAGCAAGCCAGGGGTACATTGTAAGCCCAGCCTCCTCCTCAGTCGCTTTGTTTTTCCAATGGTACAGGCGAGCGAATGACTGGTGATGAACCGCAAGGGATCATGGGAAAGGTGTCTCCTTCCCGCCTTCCTTTGAGAGAGAGAGACGTCTGAGTACGAGGCAGTTGTAAGCCTTAATTCATTGCGACAAGAGGCAAACAATGCACTGAATATTAAAAAGATCTGTTTCAGCCAAAAGTGCCAATTCAGCCCTGCAGGCCAAAGTCTGATTCAGGCCCTCCTGGAGCCATTTGAGCACAATAGGCTATTTGCGCGCTGGCGTCATTTCACTGCTACGCCAAGAATCCTTTTCGTTTTTCCTTTCATATGTAAATTTGGTAATCCCAGCGAGATTTAAATAACAAAAGCTTAATTTGCACAAGAAAGCAAACCACTGAAGGATTCTGGTCGTAGTAGTAAAATGACGTCATATGCAAATGGGCTATTTAAGCCAAAACAGCTCCATCAAAAGGCTGTGCCAGTCCACACTGAGGGCCCATTTCAGCCCGTGGGTGCAAATCAGGCCTAGGTAGTTGGACCGTATTGACCCTGATATAAGGGAGCCAAATGAGACTCAAAAAAACAGGACTGTTATTTTACTCACCGAAACGGTCCCATTTTTAGCGCCCAAACAGATCTTTCTTATTTACAGCGTGAGTCAGTTAAGTGCTAAGTGGTGGGGGAAGACACTTACAACACATTATAAATTCAAAGCTAATGCAATTTATTTTGTTCTTTCATTTTTTAGTATACAAGACCACATTTTGCTAAAAACCACGGAACGTCGATTTAACGATAAATGGATGCCTATGGCAACGTTTTAAAGATATCAATTTAAATTTCTCATTATTTTTAAAAACACGCTTTATCGTCTGTTTCCGCAACTATATACCTACCTTATAATTTACCTATCAGTGAAACAACAATTCTATTTATTTTCTGGGACTAATTACTACAGTACCCACTAACTGAAGGGGGTTGTTCGTAGCCTGTGGACAGATAACCCCCCTCCCCTCAGTAAAAATCGGAGAAGGGGACCCTTGTCCGATTTTTCCTGAGGGAAGGCAGGGGGGGGTCTGTACACAAGCTAGTTGTTCGTTCCTCATAGACTAAATTTTGATATGGACCAATCTACACAATCATTTGTTTTATAACACAATATGAATGACGCCTGTAAGCAGCTGTGTATTACATGATAAAAACAATAATAATAATAAAATATAAATTACCGCCTTCAGCAATAACACCTGCAAAACAAGTATAATTGAACCCGTTTGAACAGAATAAAAAAATCCGTAAAAGAGAACTTGCGCTTCCGATTGCACCAAGTTTGATTGTCAAAAATTAACACGTACCTTTTGCAAAGAAAACAAAATCAACCGTGATGAAAAGTACAGCTTATAACGAGTTTCAGTGTTCGTGCGAATGGGTGCGTTACTAAAGTTTCTTTTTTCTTCTGAATAATTTTTTAGTTTACTCGCATTCTCAAGCCCCAAAATGTCGTAGAAATTCGAATTCATTTCAATGCAAGCTAGAAGCAGGTTCTATCTAAGATTTGTTGTTTGGAGGAGACGTGCCGAGTATCCGAAGGCCATGAGTTTCCTGGTGGGGTCCGGGGGCGTGCCCCCCCGGTAATTTTTTAAAATTAACACGCGCTGAGATACAATCTGTTGCATTTTGAGAGACAATTTTAAGAAATGATACAGTGGTATTTTATTTTTAAATAATACTCCATGTTCCTTGTCATATAGTGTCCTTAGACAGGGAATTCTTACTTCATGTGCACTGACCTCGTCCCGTCTGGACGATTTTTTCCAATATAGTTACTTATACCCTGTAATGATAACACTATTTTTGGGGGAGGCTGGGTATTTTTTTGGGGGGAGGAAGCTTCTACCCCTCAAATACCTTAGATTGAACCCTGCAAAAAGACTGAAAAGCAGAAAAATTGATCATGAACGCTACCCTTCCTTGAGACCAACTCTAACTAAGGGCTAGCACTCGAAAAGTCTGCACGGCATTTCAACTTATCCACAGTAATAACTATATGTTGGATGACTCTTCAATGCGGTGTAGTCTCACAATAGGGACTTTAAGATCAAACGACGCGGACGGTAACGAGAACGCCAAAAAAACAAAAGGTTTTATAAGCAGAATAACAACTTTGCACGTGCATCGCGCTTTTTTGTGCATTTCTTTGCCCGTTTTTGCACGACTATGACGTGAAAATGCCTAATCTTGCGTTTTATGGAGGACGTAAACAAGCAACGACGAAATTTAATTTCTCTTTCTGTACTTGGATATGGTCGCTAGGAATTCAACTCCAGGAGGGTTCGCCTACATTTGACAAAGTAAGTGGGTAGGAATAATTGCGATAAAGACTGAAAGAACGCAAATTCACTTTTTAAGCGACGTTCTCATTGCCGTCGCGTCGTTGGATCTTGAAGTCCCTAATGAGCGATTATCACAGCAACGCTGGTTCGTTGAGGTTCATTCTTTAGTCACTGTTGGCATTCTTGGCACATTGAGTCGGTCTGCCAGTTTATCCTAAATAGAGGGGAAGTTTAAGAGAATAATATCACAAAGGGTATTTTAAAGAAAGAAAAAAAAAACGTTGTTGTCTGTGCTGGGTGTCTTGTTAATCTTTATAATGGTCTTGTCCAAAAAAAAACAAAACAAAAGAAAGCAAAAAAAACATGTTCTTCTTTTTTTCTTCCACGAAACGGACATGTATCACAGTGAAAGTGTATAAAGAGATTTATTACGCAAGACTATTGCCGTGCCACAAACTGTAAAACACTTAGTCTTACCATAGCCGACAGTAAATTCACGTGATAATGAATACCACCATCTTGCTCTACTTTGCGCATGTGTTCCCTTTCCGGATCGCCAGCCACAAGTACTGCAGATTCACCCTCAATCTGATGAAACACGAAGTCAAACCTCACCTCAAACAGCATTGCATAAAGAACTTTTCTTCTAGACTTAAACAAAGTACTTCGTATTTCCGAGGCTCTGTTTTACTCGCTTACAGCGCGCCAAGTTAGGGAACCAAAAAGGGCTCGCTAAATATATTCCATAGCTGAAGCCAATCACACTCAAGAATGCCAAAAAAATTTGTCAATCATCGTTGATATCACACAAGCTTGCGACCTCTGAGCGGTTCCTCAAGCGATCGATAGAACAGCATCCCCTAATTTTTTGCGAAAAACGACGAGATTCAAAATCTTTCATGCGAAACATGTCGACCTCTCGCCACCTCATGAAAGCTCAGTAAAAGCTTAATTTAGTCTTTACCCTGCATGAATGACAAAAAGATATTGACTTGGTGAACGTGCCGATTGCTTCGTGAAGAAATGAATCCACAACGTTTAATTCCGGTGAGGTCGCTTTAATAGCGCTGGATAATTTTAACATTCCACTAGCAGGCACTTACCGGTTAGCCTGAAATTCATCCGATTGCTTCGAGTCGTTTTCTCCTCTCAACAACGTCTGAATCGACCGGCCGTTAACGCCGTCCGGTGACGTCACTCACTACCCGAAAACCAAGTAGTGATTTTCATTGGTTGATTGTCTAAACATTCGCATAATTATGTATAATTATGAAGGGAAAACCAATTAGTGATTTTGATTGGTTGATTGTTTAAACATTCGCATAATTATGTATAATTATGAGGGAGTAATAACGACTCGAAGTAACCGGATGAAATTTAGGCTACTTACCGGTTGGAGGTTTCGCAAATGGTCCATGAGAGACTGCATACGGTCTTCGAATCCAGCAGCAAAAACACTGGGATTTAAAGCAACAAAGCATTGTCCCTAAATATACAAAACAAATTACAGTCAAAACACGCACACAAAAAAAGCAAGGACAGCAAATCAACTCAAGGCATTAAAAGCGCTCACCAAATTGGCCACTCTCTCGTCCCCAGACCACCGCCTGATGTTTGGACCAAACGCCGCATCGGACAGAATCCCGCAAAACACTTCAACCATGACTGCTAAACCGTAGCCTTTGAAGCCACCTGAAAGGAAATAGAATGCCGTCCAGTCATAACAGAGCAGTAAAAATCTAACTTCATAACTGTGTTGAAATCAAATGACCCTGGGAGCAGAGTCACTCTCCAAATGTGCTTTTTTGGCTTCTTCCTAATCAAAGAAGAGAAAAGGAGGCTCCGTCTACTAAGAGTGGTAGCCACAATAGTAAAATAACCTACTTTTCAACTATGTAACAGATTTAGCAAAGGCAACGCAGCGTCAAAAGAAGTCACGAGAGCAGCGCCAAATGATCGTCAAATAAGAATAGTGTCAAACGAGAACACCAGAGCTTACAGAAAGGACTGAACACGACTTCCGGTGCTCAGTTTTTCCTTTTTCACTGCCATAATTTCTCTGCCATTGATTAGCCATTGGTCAAGTTGATGTTTACTGAGACCTCCGCGCGCTGTAGCCACTGTCGCTTCTTTTTTCTTGAAACGAGACTTAAACGCTTCAGTGCTTATGCTTGTGTTGTTATGAAAACCTGTCCTCTCTCAAAACCAAACATTTCTGCTGCTACTGTTATAAGCTACATTTTCGTAACAACTATGGGTGGTTTAAGCGGGGGTACAGTGTACGTATAAAATTTTGTGGCATTTCTAAAGAGCCTTTCTTCCTGGACACAATACTTTCAGAATTCTTGAACACACCATATTAGTCTCAGTCCTTTTTTTGGAAAATGTGTCTGGATCCGTCTCTCCTTAAATGACTTACTTGTGATTTCCATTCCACCAAGAGGGAGTTGCCCACCACCAGTTAAAACTTTGTTTGGATAGACTGTTTCCTTTAAAACAAATCAAGCAAGTCAGAGCATCAGACGAAGTAAAAACTTAATTAAACAGGCCAAAAAATATTCAGAAACCTGGAAGCATTCCTCTTACAACAATTGCTTGATGGCCAGGGTCGATTTGTAAAAAGAATCAGTTAAGATAACTGGGACTGCACTCGTTAAAATTATCGTATCAAAACCATAGATTACTTTCCCAAAACAATACTTAAGGGTGCACATATCCAAAGAACCTTTTTATAAAAGCGGCCCCAGGAGGCGATGATCTTTTAATTTGTTTCGCCATCAATTGCATGGTTCTTTTACAACTACAACAGTTAAAATCCTTGCAAGGTTTCCAGTCACTGTAGTCCCTGAAAACTCGCAAACACGCAGTGGCTTTATACAAGGGCTATCACGCCAAAAAATGATGCTTTGTGCGATAACAATCTGTAGCCAGCGGCTGACCTTACTCCCTCCTCCCCCCACCCTCCCCCAGCCATCGTTTGCTCCAATAACAGCCTTAAAGTAGCAAGAATTTTTATCTTAGATAAAGCTGATCATAATTGTGCACTGGTGAATCAGTCTTGAACAAAAGTAACTCTCACCTGCCCTGTAGGATCCACACCCCAGCCATGAGGAATTTCCACTCCTTTCCTGTTTGCCATTTCTATCTGAAGTAAAAAAGACACAAGGGACAGTCAAGGCCTGAACTGGTCATTTGCATACGTTTTACAGTTCGTGTGACTTGCAGAGGATATTTAGGTTGTGGCAATAATATGAAAAATAAATATTAAAAATTTCAGTAACCAAACATTCAGGCCCTTGGTGATGGATCCGGCAAAGAAATGCACAAAAAAGCGTGAAGCACGTGCAGAGCTGTTGTTTGCTCATTAACCTGAACCGCTTTTTTGATGTTCCTGTTCCCGTTGCCGTCACCGTCGTAGTTTCGTAAGGTCCTTTCGACGGCGACTTCAACGGCTATAGGTTTCCACCGATTGACAATTCCTGCTTTTAGGTGTTCCGTTAACACCAAATGACCTTAACCATAGGAAAATTTAAACGCCTAGCAGTTCAAATTTTCGTGTGAACAAAGCGAAAGTATTGAACGGTCCCGTGTGAACCAAATGTCCAGTCAAATTTTCCCGCCGGTCGAAAATTCGACCGATGAGGTGTGGTTGCAAGTGCAGAACACTTTTTTGTACATTTCTTTACCGTCGCTGCACAACTACGACGTGAAATTGCCAAATTTCAAGTTTTATTGAGAACGTTAATAAGAGACGACGAACCACTCTTCCGTCTTTTTTAACTCAGATCTTTTCTTAAGAATTCAACTCTCTGGAGAGTTCGCCTGCATTTGGCATAATCGCCCTGAACGTTTCAAAAAAGGGGAAGTTACTTTTTAAGCGAAGTTTTCGCCGTCCTCGTCGTGAGTAGCACCTTTAAAAACTCCCTAATAATGTAAACGTCAGAAAATCATAACCCTGTAACTCTTCCTAACGTTCCCTACCAAATTCCTATCCACTTACCTTTCCAAGAGCAACAGAACTTGTTGCCATATCAAGAACAAAGCTGTCACCATCTTTTCCTGGGGCAGCCACTGATATAGGATTAGTACCTACTGTAACCTGACAGAGAAAAAAATGATCTCTTAACTGAAATCAAAAATCACACTACGGCGTGTGCCTATAAATAGCCCCAAAATCCACATACAAATTCTCCGATCTTCATCTTCATCTTCTTTATCTTACAGAATTAGCGGAGAGAACCGTTAAAAGGCCAACGCACTTTCGCTTTAGGGATCATCTTTTAAATTATCCCAACCATTTTTCCTGAGTATGTATTTATATTATTAAGGGATTGATGTTGGTCAGTATCTTGGGACGTATTGGGTTCACAGCCACTTTTAGTGCGTCAAACAACGTTCATCGAGGAGCATTGTGTGATGACAATAAAAACAGCGGCAAGGTGGGTAAAAGTTACTTTAAAACAAAAGGGGAAGGAGGTTTTTTGCATTTTGGAAAAAAAATTTGACTTGTTCTTGAACTCTCTAAACCATGGAAGCATTATGTCTCAATGGTAAAACTATTGTCAGAATTTTTTTCTCTTGAGGCGCAGTAGGAGCTGGAGTTTTCTGTTGGTTTGGTCATCTTAGTGAGTCTTGTGTCTTATTACGCCGCCTACCCCTACATGTTAGGGCCTGTTTACATGAAGGTGGGGAACCCCCAGATAGGTGAGGTAACATGCGGCGGGTCACCCCACCTATCATGTAAACGTCATCAAATAAAAATGAGAGATTATATGGGCAGGTGGGTTACCCCACCAAAGTGGGTTACCTCACCTACTTGGGGCCCCCCACTGTAAACAGGCTCTTAGAGGAACTCAGGTGACTAATATTAAGCAAGACAAAGTGAGCAAAGAGAATGTGGTGCCGCCAACCAAACTCTGCAGCTACAACAAAAATAGAAAACTCAAAGAAACAAATAAAGTATACTATGGCAAAAAAAAAAAAACCAACAATGAGCCAAAAAAAAGGAGGGCTTGAGCTCACCAGTGCCATTTTTCCCGCTCCTCGCCCAGTTGCACGAGTGCATACATGTGCCTTTATACACTGTCTCTAAAATGCACATACCTACCATAATGATAATTTTATGGCACGAACTTTTCAATAGAAATGATTGGGATATACAAGACAAAATCTCGTAAGAATTATGGGTCCTTTAAAATAAACATACCTCACGAGCTCTAGTTGGCACTACCAGTGGTGAAGTGTTTGTAAGACTCATCCCCTAAAACAATAATCAGTAAAGCACAAGCCGGGTTATGATGCCGGCCCTACTTGTTCAAAAGGTGGATAACACTATCCACTGGGTAAACCTCTATTCAGTGGATAGTGCAATTGGTTTCCCTTAGGCTAACATACTTATCCACTGTATAGTGATTTATCTGGAGGATAGCACTACAAGCGTTTGAACAACTGGGGCCTGGTTTATATTGCCTGTATCTATACAGTCAAACCTGCCTACAATGGTCACCCTTGGAAAATGGCAAGGTGACCGTTATATACAGGGAGACTGCTATATACAGGTCAAATTTGCAGGAAATATAATGCAACTGAAAATTTGATTGTAATATACAGGGTGACCACTATCTAAAGGGTTGTATTTTAAATTTTTTTAACCAATACAATGACAGTGCTTGTTTTTCACAGTCCAGAATCAATCAAATTGAGCATCCTATGGCTGCCTCATGTCAGCAACCTTGAATCCCACAGTCTGGACCCAATTCTTTACTGCTTGAGGCTTATGGCTCTTGGACACATCTCTAAACAGTATTTTGTTTTTCAACTGGGCATGGCAAGTGATTGTGAGCTTAATTAATGACATGGTGAAAGCTCATCAACTTTGACTAACCTGATGAGGGATGTTTAAAAGACAAACTTGGTTATGCATTTTTAGGGCTTAGGACATCGTAATTCACAATCCTCACTTACTGATGTTGCGTCATGTTACTAAACTGAAATGGTGTCAGTAGAATAAAACTGATATTAATATTTACAATAAGACCTTGCTCCACAGCCTTCATGGTGTACCAGCCGGCAATTCCATAATGATTTGAACCTAGCAGAATAATAATATTTATTATCATAAATTTCATAATATTATAAGATTATGATTGCATAAAACTTAGGTGAGTAAGGGGCTGACCACATTTCGTGCCCAGGAACCAGTGCCCACCAATGAGTACCAGTACAAAAAGGTGTTGGGTCCACACTTTGAGTACGCGGAATGTGACTCTGTGTACATAGTTACTCCATTTTGCCCTGTCAGACCCCATTGTGGAACATGAGCTTAGCAGCGAATATACAGCAGTGGACTGCCCCAGAAATAACAAAATCAGTGTGCACAGAGGGACCCAGTGCCCACTTTTATGCTTGAATACAAGGTCTTTCACTGGCACAGCACCCTATTCGAGCATGAGTACTTGAAAATTTTAGTGCTAAGTAATTACCATATTGGGGCGGTGTTCCCCGGCACCAAGTGTGAACGCTGCCTAAGTAGTATAGGCTCAGGCCTGAGTGTCAGAAATCTGCATTTTGTATAAATTGACACTTGATAAAAGATAGCATAGATGTAGCTGCAGCCTTTTTTTTCCTTCTTTGGGGGAAGGGTGTGGCTACATGTAGGCTAGATAAGACTCAGTTACCTCTACAAACTACCCAGCCAATTCCAGTGTCTTGTGCTTTCTTCATTGCCAACTCATTGCAAAAGTTTCCAACAACCTACATGTCAACATATACTCAGCAAAATAAATATTGAATGCTACATCTTTTGTAGGGTACAATAATATTATTATCGTAGAGCTCTCATCTGTCCGTCTGTCTGCAGCACAGAGCAGCACTGACGTGAAATGACATTTCTTAGCCATAACATGTAATAAACAAACAGACATGCTAGAGATTAGCCTTTTCATGATTTTGTATCCATCAGCCCAGACCTTATGTAGTATAGAAACAGCAATTTCATTGACCAAGCACCAGGGGGTGGATTTTCAGCACAACATGAAACTATACCACTGTAAATCCTCTATTAACCCCCTAATTCAAATAAGCCCTCCTTCTCTAATAACACCCCCCCTACCCCTTTTCAGGGGAAGAAAGTTAGTAAGCCCCTCCTCTTTTAAGCCCCCCGCCCCCACACCCCTCTCTCCTTATTCTTCACTACCAAATTCACAAAAGATGGACTGATCTGGTATGGTTATTATTGATATGCTGGACGTTTGGATTTGTTTTGATCTGTGACTGCAAGACCTCAAACATCATTTGCTTTGTCATGAGTCCTAGTTCTTTCTCGGGAATTGAAATCATCTTCTAGTTGTTCAAAAAAGCAGTATGGTAACCCATTTCAGTAAATTATTTACTGCCGCCTCCCCCCCCCCACCCCCCAGACCTCTATTAAGCCTGCCCTCAAACATGCTTGAAATAAACAAGCCCCCGGGGGGCTTAATAGAGGATAACGTTAGACTAGACTTTTGGGTGTTAATAAGTCAGTCATATCACCTTAAAACTATACCTTTTTATAAATTAAAACAAATAAAAATAAACAAACACGCAAATATTACAATAAATAACTAAACAGCAGACAACCGGATGGTAGCTAAGAGAGTGTAAAAAATTATGGATTCAATTTATTTTGTTATAACCACTTACTGGTCCAAGCAGGTTGTTCCCATCCACAAGTGCTGTAGCAGAAGTCTCATTCATCACTTCAGGCTTTCCTTCCAGAACGGTGGTACCAACTTCAATATCATGAACATACATTTCTAAAATTACCAAAAAAAGGCTTTTTGTAAAATATTTAGCTGTTAAAACTGGAAACATAAACCTTGCTGTTTCTGAATTAACAGCAACATACCTCTCCTGACACTTCTCTATAGCTAGTGCATCACAGATATTTTTATTCAGGTCCCGTGAATACCAACAAAGCTCTCATGAGTAACCACCTGATGTGTGAGGAAGCTAGAGATGGCTATTTACAAAAATGATATTGGTGGTCCCTTATGAGGGGTTACAGGAAGGATGCTTTACATTTGTGTATATTACCACTGGAGCAACTTACTCAGTTTGTATTCCTGTGTGTAAAAGTCAATGAGCCATTATATAGTTGCTTATGTTCTGTATTATCTTAAATTCAATAAATTTTTCAGGATAGTTGAAACAGGTGAGGGCTGATCACTTGCAAGAGCTTCATATATTCATACCACTATAATAATGGCGACTTTTGTAATAGGTCGCTATATAGGGATGATAAGGGCCATTTTCTTAGGCATCTGCCTTAGGCACTGCCATCAAGTACATGTGGACTTTGTAAATGAGAGAAATATGATCCCATAGTGCAAGGCCCGTCAATGGAGGGGGTTATTTTAGGACCAGAGGCAAGCATATTGTCTCCTTGTTGCACATGTAACGGTGCCCTGGGGGTTGGGGGGGAGGGGGGGTTGGGAGGTACTTGGGTTAATTTTTGCTGGGTATGTGCCGCTGGCCTCCCAGAGCCCTACCCCATTATAGTCTATTCTTGTGGCCAATTATGGACCCCATCTTAGCCTCTTTTGGGCAAATATGTAATTTTCATAATCCTAACTCAGTCATAATCTATTTTTATGAACTGACCCAATTTTTAGGTTCAATGACGAACACTTTACTTTTCACCTACAATACAAACATTCCGGTACGTTTGCTAACTGTAAATATGAAGAACTGTCTTACCCCAAAAAATCCGAAAATGTGCGACCCTATTCTAGTAACTCTATTGAAATATGCAACCCCATTATAGTCAATCCAGTAGTGAAAATGCCACCCCATCCAGCAGCATATCCCCATTAGTCTCTTATAAGGAAGGACCCCCCCCCCCCCCCCCCCCCCCCGGGGTGATTTTTCCACAAAAAAAAAAAATTATCTTAAAAAAAAAAAACATGCATCATATTTTTTTTTTTAAAAAACATAAAAAATTCAATTTTCAAGTTATTTTCCACATAAAAAACAATACACACAAACATTTTTTGAAGAAGGGAGAAGCACCCCCCCCCCCCCTCCCCGGTAATGGTGTTACTTTCACATAAAATAACTATATTCTCATGAAGCAAAATGATTCTGCATCTATTTGTTAAGGATAAAACTTTAAACCTGTGATATGCTCACTTATGAAACTCACAAAATCGTAACTGGAATCTGGTCTTGGGAACGCAGGTTCAGCTTTCCAAGTGGGGACCAATCACCATCCCCCTGGATTATCCCCTAGCCCTTTGCATTTTTTGCCTTCACTCTTGTTTTGCTTATGAGTTCGGTAAAATGGTCAAAATATGAATGAAACGTTGGCGATGTTATTTCACAAATTTACACACGGGTTCTGTTTGACGTTCCGTAACTTTCTACACTCCCACCTATCCCCAGTTTCAAAGTAGAGGGCACGATAAGGTTAAAAACAAATTCAAACTAAGCCATGTCTTTAGGCACGTACTTAAGCTTTTCGGCTAATATAATTCACGAAGACTAAAATTCATCAATAATTAAACCCCTTATTTATCGCACCGTATGATATCTATCACTTAGAAACACTCAGATCTCACCTAATCTATTTAATCCATGGCTAAAGTGTCCTCTCGCATCCCCCGCGACAAGAACTTGTGATAGAGCTCGGCAATGTTCTTTCGGAGTTCCAACAGCCCCCATACACCGCTCAATAAACGATTCCGCTTCTTCTACAGCCACGCATTTGTGCTCATCTAACAATCGTCCACTAGTAGATAAGTTTCGAATCGATCGTACCAGACGGCTACACAAGAACTTACTTCGGCCTCTACTGACTCCCGCCATCTTGAGAATTTTGTCACACGTACCTGCATGCGTGAACCTAAAAGCAATTGACACTCGATTGTCTCCTCGTCAGGTCACGCAAGCATCAATTTCGTGCTGTTTCTTTCTTTCCTTTTTTCCCGCAATGCACAATGCACATATTGTGTAGTCTGTTAGAACGAAAGAAATGCGTCAGCCAGAAAAGCTATAAAAGACACCAGGGTAATGCGCCAGGCGGCACCTGATCCGGTAATACTAGGGGGAGGTGAAGGTTACGGAGCGGGGGAATGGAGGGGGGATTACTTGCTCCCCTCCCCCTTAGCCTGGCGATATCCTGGCAACTGAGAGGGTCATACAGCTGTACATTACCGAAAGAATTTTTATTTCAAATTAACAATTGAGGCTGAAAGTATTGTATCTTTCTTTCCCACAATCGTACAATTTTACAATCGCTAGTGGGTTTGGCGAACACATGGGCAATAATTTAGATTATTTTTCTCCCGCCCTCGTCTCCTTTGCACATTAATTTTTATTCATTTCTCAGTATTTATTCTTATTCGTTTGTCTTTCCTGTTTCGAAGTACAAGCTGTATCATTTCCATTTATTAAGGCCAGGAGCCAATCATTGTTTATTAGACAGGGGAATACCCTCGAACTTTTTTGTTATGTTAACTGAAAGAACACATCAGTTCCCACTAGAACTTCTTAATGAGATTTGGCACACCCGTTCCGTTGATCAAGAAAATGTTGGGCTCACTTGTGCCGTCAAAAATTTAGGCCGACTAGAAAACGGGATTTTATATGGCCTGCGTAGCTGGCGCAAAAAGGGGAGGTGAGGAGGGATTACAAGAACAGGGCCCAAAAAGCTCGCGTCATAGTTTATACCCCTCACAACCTCCGGTTCGAACTCATGCAAAGAATAATAAATCAATACAAAGTTCAATATTAGTAGGTCAATATTCCTAGATGGTGGGACGTATAGAGTCGGGACGGGAAGCGCGAAACTTTCACTTACCAGTTTTAAATTTTCACTCGCACAGAGCATGCCCTCCAAGATATTAGCCATTTTCGAGCAGTGCGTAGCCTCTTCATCAACGTGACGCCTGCTGCATGCACAATCATATACATGGAAACGAGTCCAATTCGCATCTTAATTATTACTTCGCCTCATTAAAGGTAATTAACCTGTGATCAGGCGGCCCTTCTTCCCTTTTGTTTGAGAACAGGTTACATTAAAGGTAATACGGATTCCAGAATCCGGGAAAATTGTGCTTGTGGAATCTGAAATCCTGGGTTTGGAATCCGGAATCCCGCTAACGATCCTGGGCTTGAATCCGGAATCCAAGTTCCACTGAAGAGGAATCCTGCATTGAATACTATGTTAGATTACCTTACCCGCATGGGACGAATTACCAATATACATGAGGATGACCGTCAGCCAGAACTAACTCAGAAAATATATAGAGCTGGACTACAAGCAATTCTTAAATGTTTGATTCAATTTGTGTTTAGCCTTGTTGCCGCTCCAGATCTCCTAGTCCGTAGTCCGTAGTCCGTAGTCCGTAGTCCATTCCAAAGCTACACAGAAAGGAGAGAAGTTGAAACAAGAATGTGATGTCACCAGTCAAACACGGGATCCACGCAGCGAAAGCCGCGCATAATCAACTCTGCGATCCTTGCTCCATTACGTCGAGGAGTAAAAATAAAAGACTTATCATTGCTCTGAGAAATATTCCCTAACGAGTGTGATCAGGCATCATTTTCCCTAATCATGTGTCCTAGCGCCTGCTACACATCTGAGCAGATCGAGAACAAGCTCACATGGCCGGAAACTGTTCAAAGGTATATCGCGTCTTAGTGTTGTACTTTTAAAGAGGCTACGTATCACGAGGTAAAACTGTTTCAGGTCAATTCTGTGCTGAAGTCATCACTTAGTTTCCTTACCCATCCAAAAAATGCTTCTTTAAGCTGGAGAAGAAGGTATAAAACAAATTTCAACAGGAAATGCAAATCAAGATTTTTTTGAAGAATTTTTCATTGTTCAGGGATTGAATAACTTGAAAAAGTTAGCCAAACTTGTTAAAGTTTTAATCCATGTCCGTCCGTTCCAAGCGACAACAGGAAACAGTTCTAATGCCTACATTTAGTCTTAAACAACAAAACTGGACCATCACTCTTGGAATTCAATTGATGTGAAGAACAGTTTTAGCTAGGCTCCATTTTCCGCCGCTCTTTTGGTCGGAGAGGAGCGCGGGCTCATTTCCCGAACAGTGGCTGGTAATCGAGCCTAAGTTTTAGCTTTATTCACCATTTTCACATAGACCATAGTGCACCTTGTTTAACCCCCAAAACTTTGCATAACCATTATCTTGGATTTCAGCAAACTAAAGAAATAATGTTCACAAACGTAACAGGTATTGGTTAGGTTTTGGTGCAATGTGAAGATGATCACCTCAGCACTCACCAATGGTTGCTCTCCAACCATAGTTAGGCCTCGTCTGCACGTACCCAGATATTTCTAAAAACTGATTTTTTTTCTCCGTTTTCATACACGACAATCTCGTTACCAGGGTCCGCGTTACCGTTGTCCAGCGGAATGGTAATAGCGTCCTTTACTTAAGAATAGGCTATATGTAGCCTGCGTAGCATGGCGGTTTTTTTGTTGGGCGCGCAAAGTAGCAGGAGGCGAGCAAGGGCAGAGAAACCGCGAGAAGATTAGGGCGGGAGATTGAATGCTCCCGACAAAACCGCCATGCTAAGCAGGCTAGTATGTATGATGTATGACTACATCGCATTCGAAGTCCACACAAAACGATAAATTGGCGATTTAAAAAAAAATCTTCTCTGGAGACCGTTTTCGAAAACCTACATTTTTGACCGCGCCATTGGTACAGGCGGAAGGCTAATTAAAACGGCGAAAAAAAATCTCAGTTTTCAAAAAAATCCGGATAAGTGTGGGCGGGGCCCCTAATTTTTGTTGATATTTTTCCACCGTCCGAAATCTCTTCTGATGACTAAAGAAAAAAGTTAGATACACTATTCCCACAGTCATTTAAGAAAATAATTTACATTTGCTATACTTTTGACTACACTTCTCATAAACTGTCGCTGAATTTATCTTTCAAGTTCTGTATGAAGATGTAGGTCTTTTTATTAACCCATGAGTTAGTTGGTTTATGTTCTGATGACTCCGTGCTTCTCACTTTCACCTCTTTAACTTACACGTTCCAACAAATGATCGAAATGAGACAGACACGAGCAACATATGGCCATTGTTTGCCATACTCGTAACAAACTTTCTTAAGGTCAGAGCCTGGGTCAGAGAAATTCACGGCTAGACACGCTCTATCCACGTGTAGTGATTCTTAAATCTGTTCATGACCATTTCCCCCTTCCCCCACCCCCCGCTTTTTTTTTTCCTTTCTCTGACTGAAGCAGCCTTCGAAAACCACATACTCCATTCGGGAAGGTGCCGAGTTGAGCTAGTTGGTGTTTATTGTAGTGAGAGTATAGTGGATGAAGTGGATGGATTGGAATCGTAAGCCTTGGTATATTAAGTGGAAGTGTAGTACTCTGTAAAACCCTCCTTCATCTGTCCAAACCCTCCTTCGTCTCTGATTCAGAACCAGCATTCATGGACTCGTATACTCGCTTTTGCTCGCAAATTGAATTTTATAGCTATGCAATCCATACTCACACATCGGCGTGTCGTAAAAACGGTATCGGTATTTTGGGTCATGATACACTTTGAAGTTTATCGGACAAAAAGTGATTCATAAAGTAAGTATCTTTAATAGAATATTTAGTTTCGCAAGTCTTTGACAAAACACATCAAAGACGAGACAGGATTTCGTCACAAACCAAAACAGTATTAGACACAGAAAATCCCATTCAGGTTTGTAGAGTATATAAAATACGAACTTTGTCGATAGTGTAACCTAACACTGCTTCAAGTGCATGAAATAACTTTTCATGCAAAAAAGTTTTTTTACAGGACTAGGAAGGATCAACGATGCAAAAGTGAGGAGTTTTTCTTCAGTTATCCAAACACTTCATAATGCGTGATTTCCTTTGTCTTTGATATCTACTTTAAAAGAATTTATTTCACATTAGGCCGCTGATGACGGCCCGCAGAAGTTATGAAAACAACAAATTGGCGTTATTTCATTTTTTTTTTTTTTTTTTTTTTTTTTTTTTTTTTTTTCTTGGTTTTCGAGTTTCTGCGCCCCCTCCCCAAAAAAGGTTGATGTGTTAATATCTGTTCCAAAAAAGGGTTTTAGGAAAAAAAATGTTGAAGTGTTCGCTAATATATAAACAGAAGAAAAAAACTATAAAGACTTTTTTTTTGTATTAAGGTACAAAAACTACAGATTTTTTTTTTTTTTTTTTTTTTTTTTTTTTTTTTGGATGGCCTGACGCTCGAGCTTCAGGCCACCATCCTCAAAACAGGTTGATGCGTTAATATCCGTTCGAAAGAAGAGTTTCAGGAAAAAAATCTGTGAAGTTTTCGCATATTATTCAAGAGATGAAACAAGCTATGAAGCCTTTCTTATGGAATTCAGGATCAAAAACCACAGACACTTCCAAAGTTTATCAAACAAAACAATAACTTCCGATTTCCGTGTAACCATGTGACTTGCTTTTTCTCAGAAATCACTTAATTGTTTGTCCAATTTGGATACGCTGTAACGCGTAGGTTTGTTCAGTGGATAAAATTTAACACGAGATGAAGTTTTTTTTCTTTGGTTAACCGAAGAATTTTAAACAGACGAAACAGATATGAAAACACTTACAAAATATCACTAGATTTAATTCGGTTTGGTACAATTTGTACATAACCCCTCTGGGGGTGTTACTTAGCTCAGCATTTTCAAATATGTCATGGGATACTCAACAATATTTATATTTCCTCTTTTACTACTTTTATCAATATTTTTCACGAGTTTCTCCTCTGATGATCACGTGCTTCTCAGTTTCACTATTTTTCCTTGCACGTTACGTATACGTTTCAACAAAGGATTGAAACGAGACAGACATGAGCAACACGAGGCCATTTTTTGTCATGCACATGATGAAA